TCACTGGCCCCGTCCTGTAACTTCACCAGGAGCAGCAGCAGGGTACCATTCCTTCCTGCCAAATGCCAAACTGTCAAATATGCAGAGTTCCACATCACACAGCCCACTATTACTCTCTCTTTACTAATAATAAAAACAACAGCAACTTCTTCCAAAAGTTTTGCATTTCTTGTTCTCACAACATAGGCTAGCCACCATCCACAAGCAAGCAAGCAGCATGTCTGTCCCCTCATTAGAAAACAACTCCAGTATGATCCACTCGGGGAGGGGGGTGGAGTTTATGTATTTATTTACTTACTTACTGTATTTTTATACCGCCTTTCTCAGCCAATTGGCGACTCAAGGCGGTTTCCAACAAATTAGTATACATAAAACATAATATAGATTAAAAAAACATTCAACAGTATAAGACATCACAAAAGCAATAAAAACAACATCATCAGTGTCTCATTGTTTTCAAGCATTGTCCAATTCCATTGTCAGGTCATTCCATTTCCTATATTAGCTACTCTGTATTTGTAAACGCTTGCTTGAATAGCCACGTTTTAACTTGCCTCCGAAATATCAAGAGGGAGGGAGCAGATCTGATCTCCCTAGGGAGGGCGTTTCATAACCGAGGGGCCACCACTGAGAAGGCCCTGTCTCTCGTCCCCACCAAACGTGCTTGTGACGAAGGCGGGACCGAGTGTAGGGCCTCCCCAGATGATCTTAAAGTCCTCAGTGGTTCGTAAGGGGAGATATGTTCGGATAGGTAAGTTGGGCCAGAACTCTTTAGGGATTTATAGGCCAAAGCCAGCACTTCAAAAATATATTGTGGGAAATCCGAAGCTAAAGCTGCGAGTGGCAGTCAGACTGAAGCATGATCAATTTGCCTCACTCTAGAGCCAGGATGCAACCGAGAAATCGAGGCGCTTACCCCGTTTATATAGACCCAGCTTGGGTAAGACACGTCACAGCTGTCTTCTATTCTGATTGGCTCAACAGACAGGGCTCACATGGAAACCCTGTGTGTATAAGCAGCAGCCTCTCTGTGCTCCACGTGTTCTTGAATAGAAACCAAAAGTAGCCATGATAGGCAGTCGCGTGGTCTGTTTTCGACAAAAAAAAGTTGGAGGTGGAGACCTTGCAGCTACGGCCGTCTGAAACAACCAAACCAGCCGAAGACAGTTTTTAACAATGGATTCATGCGCAACCCTAGCATAGATAGTGGGAAAGAATATTGGCAGTACTCCCAACATTTAGGGGGTTACACTTTGCCCATCACTGTGTTAAACCCCTGTGCCAGCAGGACTGAAGACCGACAGGTCGCAGGTTCGAATCCAGGGAGAGGAGGATGAGCTCCCTCTATCATCTCCAGCTCCTTATGTGGGGACATGAGAGAAGCCTCCCACAAGGATGATAAAACGTCAAATCATCTGGGCGTCCCCTGGGCAATGTCCTTGCAGACGGCCAATTCTCTCACAACAGGAGCCACTTGCAGTTTCTTAGGTCGGTCCTGACACGACAAAAAAAAATCACTGTGTTATAGAAATCTCTCCTGTTGTGATCAACCCTAGAATTTGAATGACATAGAATAGATAATATATCCTCTTCTTCTGTACCCAGCCCCTGTATATTTTGCATTTGTTACATGGGATAGTTTCAATTTATGTCATATTCATAGTGTCATACCATTTTCAGATGGGGTTTTTTTTGCCACAAAGGCTTTTCAAAATCTTACTAAATACGATAAAACTCAAATAAAGAAAAGGAAAATACAAATAAACACACCCTAGCAGCTAATCTCAGTTCTTAGTCTGGAGGATTTGAAGGCCTTTACTGATTTTGTAAAGGAATGATGACAGTGTAGCAAGCCCAGTGAATGCACATGAAAAACTAGCCTTCCTCCTTTCTTTTCATTTCCTACCAAGATAATGTCTTTCCTCTTCTGAGCTGTGTCACAGGAAGAGAAACAAAGTGAAACTGACACTAATTAGCTGTTCATACTGCCAGACAGGGCACAAGTAGAAGCAAATGTATTCCCCTTCCGTTAGTCTAATATGCTGGCCACAGATGTGCTGCATGAGGATGTGTGTAGTATGAAGAAAATAATAATCAGTAAAGGCTTTTAAGTCTGCCATAGTGAGAATTGAGATTAGTTATAACACAAGGGGAATTACTGCTTTTAGGAAGGAGGAAAGACCTTGGTTGTCATTTATCAGGATGCAGAGGTGCTAGTGAACACATTGCAAATTTGGGTATGTCACGGCATTTGATTGCTCTGATGCATAATGTGTACTCAGGTCAAGGAGCTACCATGTGACTAGAATATGGAGGGTTGAAATTTAATTTAAATTTACTCTATTTAAAATATGCAGATGACACCATCCAACTACCAGAAAATAACAATGATTTGTAAAGATCTGAAAAAAAAAATCAAGGAAAAAAGTGCAATTGTAGGTTGACAGTTGAAAGTTTTTTTTTTTGTCGTGTCAGGAGTGACTTGAGAAACTGCAAGTCGCTTCTGGTGTGAGAGAATTGGCCGTCTGCAAGGACGTTGCCCAGGGGACGCCCAGATGATTTGATGTTTTTATCATCCTTGTGGGAGGCTTCTCTCATGTCCCCGCATGAGGAGCTGGAGTTGATAGAGGGAGCTCATCCGCTTCTCCCCGGATTCGAACCTGCGACCTGTCAATCTTCAGTCCTGCCGGCATTATTGTAAAAAAAAAAAAAGTTGAATGTTAAGAAAACAAAAATAGTCACTGCAGATTTTCCATACATTGGCTCAGTTATTAGTTAGAATGTGGTCTTCAGCCAAGAAATCATAAGACTTGGAACGGCAGCTGTGAAGTAACTAGAAAGGATCCTGGAAAGGAAAAGGTGTGTAATTGAATAATAAGGTTAGGATTGGCAATGTCAGGTTTCTAATTGCTATGTATAGTTGTTAGAGTTGGACAGTGAAGAAAATTGGTTGGATAAATGTCAACTCATTAGAAATGTTATACATATATCCTGGACTAATTAAAAAGAGAAATAAATGGGTCCTAGAGCAAATCAAGCTTGCGGTCTCCCCAGAAGTTAAGATGTCTATATTGAGAAGTTGTACTTTGGAGCCCTTCCACACAACCCTATATTCTACACAGCCCTATATCACAGAATATCAAGGCAGAAAATCCCATAATATCTGTTTTGAACTGGGTTATCAGAGTCCACACTCAGATAATGTAGGATTTTCTGCCTTGATATTCTGTGATATAGGGCTGTGTAGAATGGCCCTTGGATATATCATGAGAAGACATGGCTCACTAGAAAAAAAAGATGCTTACTAAGCTAGAAGGCACTATTGCAGATTGATAGACTCAAAAAAGGACACTACAGCTGTGCAAGTAAGATCTCAGCAGGGCTGTTGATGACTTGGAGGTCTCTGTTGATTATTCATCAGGTTTCCATAAGTCAGTAGCCACTTGATAGTGAGGGAAATAAGAGTTTGATTTATTCTTAGTGTCACTAGCGATGTGTTTGAGCTTATCTAAACCCATAAGAGTCTTCAGGAAATAAGAGTGGATTTTCCTGAATATTTTTCATACATGTTTATTGAGAAAGCGAGGATTTCAGGGGCATATCAAGATAACTCCTATTTGAAGAAACTATCACACTTATAGAAGGTTCTTTGTGTCTCCTACATTAAGTAAAGGCCTAGATAGGGATGAGGTAGGTATGTATAAGTGTTAGGCTTTTACTGTATGGCTGCCTTTTCTGAATAAGTGAGATGTATGTATGACAGCAAAGGTATGAGTGTGCATTCAATGAGGCTCATAGAATGTTTTCGCTGCTTCATTTTGTGTCACACTCATAAAGTTGGAAGAAATTGCAATAGGTAGAGGTTTTCCCCTAACATTAAGTCCAGTCATTGCGCGTGAATGTAGAGGAAAACAGACTTGTGGGTTTATAAATGTGGATCCTAGTACAACAATGCAGAAGTCCAAAGTGTGTGTTCAAGAGGTTTGTAAAAACAGTTGATGGATCATTCCTACAACCGTCCTACTGTTTTGGTTCCATAAGAGAACGCATTAAATTTATTGGATTTGCAATTAAACATGTGGGTTTGTATAGAATAATTCAATTAAGAAAGCTGATATAAATCACCTTATGTGGTCGCTGGATTTGTGCTGGACCATGTGTTAGCAGCTGCTGGTCTGCAGAGAGATTTCAGGAAACAGTTGTAGCCAATGGGCACAGATAAAGTATTGATCTCTGGTGCCATTTTTAAGAAAAAGGGATTGCCAGTTCCCATTTCAGCCTGAGAAGCACTGGCATAATAGAAACATTCTTCAAATAATGTTGTGTGTGTTTTTGAGTTCATTAGTCAACTCATTCATCAAATGATAACATGCTTCTTAAGGTCAATTTTTTTGCGCAATAGCCAAAGGAACACTTTAACTGCCTGAATGGAATTCTAGAAGTGTTTTGCTATCAGTGGAATGATGGATTGATGTGTGCATCAAGAGATTTGCAAGTAAATTTGCAGAGCGAGTAGAAAATATTCTGAGTCTTTAGGATGCACAATAAAGACATTAAGATACAAATAACCAGAGAATAATAAGAAGTGAAGAAGGTGGCAGAGCTTTAATACTGCTTTATAAGTTGTTAGGTAAAATGCTTTTGTCCAGAGAAATTTCCATGAATGTCAGAAGAGGATGGAGGTTTTCCACCTTGCTTTCACTTACAATAGATTGCTCTCCCTTCACATTGAAAGCTCGCTTGACTATTCGATTTTTTCCCCTTAAAGTCATGTACAGGGAATGTGTTTGGAATAAAATTGTAGTGGGGTGAAAGCAGAATCTCCAAAGCAGATAGGACATGTTTCAACAGGGAGGTCTGCCTGTTCTTGAAAACCAAGTGCTCTGGGGAAGGTTTTGTAGCGATGTCTGCCAAAGATTTGTGCATAATCAGACTTCGTAATTTGTTTCATGGCTGTTGGATCAGTGGAGTGAATGTTTGCCCATCTTGTCCATTTTCAGAGTAGTGGCAAAAGTTCTGTGCTGGAAAGCCTGGTGGGAAGGGACCTGCTCCCCAGAGGCACGGGGATTGTCACCCGGAGACCACTCATCCTGCAGCTGGTGCACGTCTCCGCAGAGGATCGTCGGAAAACAGCTGGAGATGAAAACGGTAAGGGCTGCAAGTTACAGGATTAAACATTAATTGTTGATCACATTTTGTTCTCACACAGTTACTCCAAATGAAGAAAACATTTGAAACTGTGCTGTATGTTATTACTTTTTGACTTTCCTTCCTCTCCTTGGTGGCTAATTTTATTTGTTCAGCATCTTGTAAGAAAGGTCTACCACTTGGACCTTCATATGAGTAGCAGGAACCATAGCTCTCACCTGTATTCATCGGTTGTAGATCTGAAGAAGCAGCACTGTGAACACTGGCATTCAATGAGGCTCATAGGATGTTTTCACTACTCATAAAGTTGGAAGAAATTGCAATAGGTAGAGGTTTTCCCCTGACATTAAGTCCAGTCATTTCCAACTCTGAGGAGGTGGTGCTCATCTCCATTTCTAAGCTGAAGAGCCAGCATTGTCCGTAGATGCCTCCAAGGTCATGTGGCCAGCATGACTGCATGGAGCGCCGTTACCTTCCCACTGGAGCAGTACCTATTGATCTACTCACATTTGCATGTTGTCGAATAGCTAGGTCGGCAGAAGCTGAGGCTAACAGCGGGAGCTCACACCGCTCCCCGGAATCAAACCTGCAACCTTTCAGTTAGCAAGTTCAGCAGCTTAGCGGTTTAGCTCACTGCACCACTGGGGGCTCCAATTGCAATGAAATCATTAGTTAAAACTCCCCACACCTGGAGGAATCTACAGCTAGAAAAGCCCTGTCAGGTGGCCATCTGTTTAGTTGAAAACAAAAAAGAGCTTACCATGTTCTGTGGTATTGCTGTTGAATAGCTTTTATGGTCAGTACCTTTTTTCTCATGTCTAATTGGGATCTTACTTACTTATTTTAATTTGAATGCATTGGTTCAGTACCTACCCTCAGTCAAACTTTAAAATAAACCTATGCCCTCTGTCCCATGGTCAGCTATTATTAAATAATATATCACCTTTCTTCTTCAGCTATTTAAAGGTAGGAGGTCATGTGTGGTTCACTGTTCTCATAAGGTTGAGGCATACATCACAACTCTTTGTTGTGGGTAGTTCTGCTGTTCTGTGTGTTCAAATCAATTCTGACTTGAGGAGACTCTTTCCTAGGTAAAAGTTATTGCAACTGCCTTACTCAAAAGCTAAGAGTGTGTGACTTGTCCTCGTTCACACATTAGTTCCCATGGCTGTGTAGAGATTTGGTCCTAGTCCAACACTGTAACTACTGGTTTTCACATTGTAATGGCATCACATCTCATAGCCCTGTAAGGCAGAGTTGGGGAGTGTGTTTGCCCTTCAGATATCATTGGATCTGAACCACACTGTCATCCTTCACCATTGATTATGCTGGCTAGGACTGTTGGAAGTTGCAGTCAGATAATATCTGGAGGGCCACATGTTCCTGCTCCTTCTTTAAAATACAATATAATTTTATAAGTGAGAAGGATATACACATTTATGAGTTAGACTTTTGAGGATTTGGTTATTCCTGGATTTGAATTATGATATCTTTAGGAATCTCAAGGTCCTCCAGTACAACTCTATAGTCAACTTCCCCTATAGGTTGACCATGGAATTGCACTGGAGGACCTAGGGATTCTTAGACATTTTCACAGGCTACAAAAATAGTGGTTTTTAGCCAAAGGTTTTCCCATTTTTGTGGGGTCTACGCCCCAACCCCAGGGTACTTTTTATATGAGAAAATTTTGTATTGTCAAAGTAAACTGGTTGACTTTGCTTTCTTATATTGATTGCTTGCTTATTTGACTTTTGGGTGAAGTCAAAGGTTAAGAAGTAGCTGATTAAGAGTTGGAGCTTGTTCTATATTTTGAATGAGAAAGGCTGTAGGAGCTTGCTAGGTGATATAGACCTTCCCCCAGCCTTAGCTGAGGGAAGAAGGAATGTACTGTGAAATGATACAACTCCTACTATATTGGCTAACAGAGCCAATAGTGAGGAATAATAAGATTTACAGTCCTTTGATATTTGGAAGATCACAGGTTCTGCTGCTTTAAAAAAGTTAAAAAAATTTCTTAACATAAGTGGGAACTGAAATTCCTTTTCTCCAGTGTTTCTAGAGGGAATGTCCTCTTCTCTTTGCTAGACCAAAGCTTTGGTACCTCTTAATATTACATTGTCTTTCAGAAATCATTAGAACATTATTTCCCCCCTGGGGAAAAATATATGTTTTAATTGATGGACTGCATAATTCCTTTCTAATTATAGATTTTTTTTAAAAAAAGCTCAAATCAAAGCAACAGGGTCACATGTGTGCAGTATGACCAGCATAAATCCTTTTTCAGTGCTTGATTTCAGTATTTTGAGTGGTTCAATCTGAATTTAAAAGTTAAACTTTAAACTTAAAGAGGAATAACAGATGGGTTTGTCTGTTGTTGCTGTGTACTGTTAAGTTAATTTCAACTAACACTAAACCCAACAACAAGAAATCACCCAGATTTCTGGTTGTTAGCTGCCCTACTCAAGTCTTGCAAACTCGGGGATGTAGCTTTTGATTCAATTGTTTGTTCCTGGATGGCATGGAGGAGCAATCCACTTATTCATGGGTTATTTTCTTGTGCGCCAGCTGAAATTGCAGGAAATAACTCAAGTGAGTGGATTTCCCCTCCTTCCACCCAAGAATGAATCTCAAACCACCTGTAAGACAGTTCTACTGCCTCTCACTTTGCCATGAATTATCATCTTTTCCAGTGAGTGTTGTTATCTCATGACATTTCCAAACAGAAGAGTTTCAGTTTAGTCATCTTCACTTCTAATGAGAGTTCAAGCTTCATTTGCCTTACGATTTGTTAATTTGTCTTTTTAGTGGTCCATGGTTTCCATAGAATTCTCCTCCAGCACCAAATGTCTAATGAGTTGATTTTCTTTCTATGGCCTGGATGGATTCTCTAAACAAAACAAGAATCTTAACATTAACACTAGAAGCATTTCATCTAAGAGCTGACTGGCATTCTTATCTTTGCTACAGGAAAAAGAAAGTAGAGAAAAAAATGGAAAGCATTTTATTAGATCTGCACTAATAAAAATATGGGAAAAATATAAAAGCAGATTATATACAAAGACCCCATTATGGATTTCCCTGTTAGAACCAGGACGCAGAAGAGAATTGGACAGGAAAAGCGCCTTACATACATAGATATATTGAAAAAACAGAATGGAAATATTACACTAAAAACACAATAAGAAATCAACCAAGTAGATAAAAATATCTCCTGGTTTCAACACAGACAAATAAGAGAATGCTACAACAAATAGGATTTATGGAGAAAGACACTTTCTGGGATAAAATAATGATGACAGATAAGATACTAATAACAAAACTATACAGAAAACTATTAGAATGGTCAACAGAAACAAAACACGTTAAAGACTGTATGATCAAATTGACAGCAAATATTGAACACACAGTTAAATTAGAAGAATGGAACCAAAATATGGAACCAAAAATAAAATATGCATACTCTTATGATCTTTAAAAAATTGGTATAAAATGATGTATCAATGGTATATAACACCACAAAAACTAGCAAAGTGCTATTCAAATGTCCAAGATAAATGTTGGAAATGTGATGATCAGGCAGGAACTTTTTTCTACATGTGGAAAGAAATATAAGAAAAAAAAATCAGATGATGTTAGATGTAAAAGTTCAATTGAAACCAGATTACTTTTTATTGGGAATTACAGACATGGATATTGATAAAAAAAAATGCATTATTTAAATATTTAGTGATGTTGGCTAGAACAATATACACCCAAAAATAGAGAACAAAAGGAATACCTACAATACAACTCTGGCGTGGGCTGGTCCATGAGGTCACGAAGAGTCGGAGACGACTGAATGAATGAACAACAATACAATACAACAATGGATGCCGAAAATAATTGATATAATGAATATGGACAAATTAACCCAACTAATAACCAAACATTCAGGTGCATATAAAAAAACAGCAGATTGGTCACCACCAAGAGACTATATGATACACGGAAAAATGAAACTGATAATAGAACCAAACTGATGATGAGTAGAAAAATTGTTCCCCAATGAAAATGAATGAAGAGGGGTTAGTAGAAATATAGGAATGAAGAAAGGATAATGTATACCACGGTGAAGAAGATTGGAAGTCTGACTTCACATCAGTGAATTTTATCGAATTACCACCTTTCCATCCTTGCAAAATGCAATGCATGCCATCACTTGGATGAGCTAATTTGCAGTGATTTATCTGCATAATCTTTTTTAGAATACATTTTTGCGTCTAGAAAAAATAGTCTGTTTGCATAATAACATCTGTTGACAGTGAGATACAGTTAGGTTATTAAACATATCATCCCAAAGCTGTCTTTAATAAGAATTGGGATTTAGAGAATTGTATTTGTTCTGATAGCACTTGGGTTTATCCTTATGTATATGGATTTCTCCCACCCTTTTTGCTATGGAATGATTATAAAGGTGAATTATGTGTAATGGCTGGCTAAAATATATAATCAGATGTTTCATTTTACATACTTTTAAATCTCTTGCCACGATTTTCAGCATCTTAGGACACACCTCTACTGCTTGGTACAAGTTTAAAAGGAAGCAAGACTTTTGCGCTTTCTACAACCAAAGGATTATTTTGGACTTTCCGCTACATCTGCTTCATCCCTTTAATTTAGGCTTTAAGCCTTCTCAGTAGGGATACTGTCTCTTCTGTGGTGTTTTTAAGTGGAATCAGAAAACTCAGGAAATGCAATTAGTGGTTCTTTTTGTAATCATATAAAACAGGGCCTATCTGAAAATTTTTTTGCTGATCTCCATTTTCAAAGTGTAACTGTTTTTTATGACTCACAAGCCTATTTCCCCATGTTCTCTGTAAGACCGTCATTATCCTGGGGTACCATATACATAGAACAATAAGCAATTTAAAACAATTCCAGATTAAAATGATAAAATAACCTAACTAGTGTAAAATGTATTAAACATGACAACAAGTTAAATAGCTTTAAAGGGTACAATTTTGATTATCAGTGTACTAATAATCAGGTTACTATACATTTAAAGTAAATTATATCCCAGAGGCTTTAATAAAATAGCCACGTCTTGATTCAGAACTGGAAAGAAACCAAGGGGGAGGTATTCCATTACTGGGGTGTAGCAGTTCAGAAGTTCCTCTGTCATGTCTCTGTACCTCATTATTCACAGTAGTGGTATCCAGAGAAAAGCCCCTCTTGTAGACCTCTCAGTCAGGTATATGTAGGGAGAGATGCTTCAGGTAGTACTGTAGGCAGTATTAAGCTAGGTAGGCCAGTGTTGTGAACCTCAAGATGCCCAAGTCAGAAGACCATGACTTCAAGATCACATGGTTTCTCAAAGTTGCTCACTTCTAAAATAGACAGTATTGGAGCCTGATGGCCCAAATTCTGAAACAATATAAGGAAGCTTCCTATATTCCTAAATAACAACAACAACAAAACAACAATAACAACTTTATTCTTATATTCCACCACCATCTCCCTGAAGAGACTCGGGGTGGCTTACATGGGGACCAAGCCCAGCAGAAAACAAGTAAGATATAGCACAATTAAAATACATTACATTACAGTAATTAAAACAATAAAACCGAACAACAGGCATCATAAAAACATAAAAAAACAACAATAACCATCAACCAGTAGCTGAGGACAGTGGGCATGTTCAGATCTAGGAGGGTGAGGCAAGGGCTAGTGCAATAAGGGGGGGGGGGGGGTAACAAAGTGTTACAAAGCCAGATAATAAGTTAGGGCTAGAGGGCCTAGGCAATAGATGAACCGATTAATCAAAAGACATTGAAACACCCAAGTTTTCAGGTCAGTAGAGTGATGTTATTGAGTTTAGAACAAACCTAGTTGGCAGAGATGAATTGTAGCCTGAAGGGATTTCTTTTATTGGTTGTTGAAGACAGAAAAGAAAATGGCAGTAGTTCTTTAGATGCTTTCAGTAAGAAATTTCCCTCCCCTCCTCAACTGCTGAGCTTTCAAAATTGTGTGTTGTGTTTAAAAAGAGTTGTCATGGATGACAAGGACAAAACCTAATTATTTGTCGCAAGATGGACTGAGAATATCCCGTAGTTCTTCATCAAACAAATGAAGGAGGAAGGAAGGACGGAAGAAAGAAAGAAAGAAAGAAGGAAACCGCTGCTGTTACACCATCGAGAGTACATTTCACCATTGTCTTGCAAAGGCATAAGGGAGGAAGCAGCAGACACTGAAATTAGGCTCTGCCAGCTAAGAACATCCCAAGAGATTCTGGGGTGAGGGACAGTTGGTTTTAATCAACTTTTAATGTGGATATAAGTGATTTTAATGTTTGTATATATTTAAGGTTTTATGTCCCGTCACTGAATGTTTGCCGTATATATGTTGTGCTCCACCCTGAGTTCCCTGCAGGTGAGAAGGGCAGAATATAAATGTTTTAAATAAATAATAAATAATTAATTCTTCATGTATGAAAATACAAAATTCATGCTGGTTAGGATTTGAAGTCCAATAGAGCTGAAGGATACTGAAGAATGCTTGAATAATCCAACTGTTTTGGAGGGCAAAAGCTCTTAGTTGTACTGTTCAGGTTTTTTTTTTAATGACTGCATGGCAACAAACACACCAGAGTTTGAAACCTCTATGCCGATTAATAGATTTCTTTAAATATGTCAAAGGAAAAGTAAAAGGTCCTGGGAAGGATATCTTTTTCTTTGCCTGTTTCAGAATTCATTTGGTGTTGATTTTCAGGATTTGTATTTGTGTGTTGGCCCTGCTAAATGGCAAGCCTTGTAATTCATGGTACATAGGACACTAAGCTATGGCCATTACACAATCTGCCCTACTTGCGAAGCTGCCAGACATGTAAATTACTCTGAGTCCTTAAATGGATTTATGGGATCTGTCGCTCCTTCTTTGTCACAAATATTTGTCTCTGTGCAAGTCACTCTTTCCTCCACATCTTTCTCTATTTTTGCGTTTATGTACATTGAACATCATAAATAATGTTGTTTTACCATCTGAATAGATTGCACTGGTGGTTTTACTTGGTGAAAAAACTTTCCTTCTTGTTTGACTGATGATTCACCAAAATTGCAATATTTCCATTGGATTCCTCTGATTTCATCAGTTGGGTTTGGTTTCCTTTTTCTTTGCAGCCCTCCATGGTACTGAAAACTTAATCTGAACACTTTTCAGTTTTCCAGCCTCTGCCTTTAAGGATGGAGGGAGATCTCAGGAGGTGATAGCATTCAGTTCTGGTAAAAGTTGATCAGGAACAGCCAAGAAAAAGGGAGCCTCAGGAAGATGGCCAAGCAGCCGTAAAGCATTCCTTCATTCCCATAGAGGAAACTGAGAGAACCAGGAATTGTAATGATCAGAGATACTGTATATGGTCTTACACAAACTCTTCCTTGCTATATTTGTCATTTTGTGCTTTAAAGTGGTTTACAACAGATGCTGTTCCTCGAGTAAACCTATTATGAACTTGTCTTGAGAAAGTTTTGTTAATTGGTGTTTGGTTTTTCCTTTCTCTGAGGCTGAGAGGGTTGACTTGGCCATGGTTACCCAGTGGATTTCCATGACCAAGGAGAGATTTCACCTCTGGTCTGGCTGATTTTTTGCGTTACAGACTTTTCATTCTTGATTCTGATACTATTTTGTTCATACTTAATAGCGATTCTTAACAGTTTAATATAAAATGCTTCTTTACATTGTAATAATTGAGGGAATTTATCAGCCATAACAAAGTGGTCAATGGTTTCTTGGTTTGAGCATTATTTTCTTGTTAGTAATGTCTTGAATTATGACTACTATATAAGTGAAATCTAACCGCATTAATGATTTCTGGCTCTGCACATATATCCTTCTGCACGTTGTGATTCCGTCAAGGCTGTTAACAAGAGGCAAAAGGGTAACACGAAATGATCTGGAGAAAAAGCAAGCCAAATTGTACTGAAAAAACAACAACTAAACTTGTGATGCTGTTTTCTTTTTAACTGCAGACCCTGCAACATGGAAAAATTCAAGGCACCTTTCTAAAGGTTTCTTGTTCACTTCTTTTCCTCCCTACACAAAATTTGCATGCTTACTTATTCTAGTGCCACGCATTTCACGCCACTTTTATTGCTGCCTGCTGTCCTTTTTTGCACATTTACACACTGGCCGATGTGCTCAAGAGCTAGTTGTGGTGTGCCTTTTGGCTTTGTAGGTTCTTTTTCTTATTCCTTGCTTTGTTTTTTCTTTCTTTGTTTCCTGTCATCAAATTAGAATGCAATGTAGATGCCAAACTTTAAAAAATGCAATATAGTGCTTTGTTATCACTGTCACCGTTTTTTTTTGTTTTTGGTTTGTTAGCAAATTGTATTTTGATATTGGTCAAAATGTCTTTGAAATAATGTTGCCGAAGGACCACAACATCTTATGTGGGACGCCGACAAATGGGCACTGTATTTCTGCCCATTAGGTACTATTGTTTCTTCATTTTCTGGAAATCCCAGTGAGCCTGTGGCTCTCTGTCCAATACCTGTCCAGGAACCACAACTTTTAGTCACACTGATCTAAACAGAAGTGTTACTATTTACTAAGCACTATAAGAGCATTTGGTGATGCAGTGCAATGGACCTCTCATCAGGACTGAAAAGTATGTTGCGTCACTTAACTGTAGTAGCAAGGAATGTGGTTTTGTTGGCCTTCCTGCTGCATTCTTCCTCTGGAATGAACAGAACTGTTGAGTCCTTGCTGATAACAAGGGTAGGGAAGAGGCTGTAAGAGAAGGAAATAGACTTCAGAAGGAATGGTACCTTATGCCCATAGTGCCTCTGTGATTCAACTTGCTCATGTCCTCCTTTGTTGTTGGAAAGCAAGTTGTCACAACTTACAGGCAAAGGGAAATTCTGTTTTTCCACCCATAAAGCTTCTTTTCCTTTGCTGCACTCCTGAAAAGGTACTTGACCTTACAACAAGTTTGCTGGTCATCCAAGATCTGCCCAAGCTCCTGTAAGATAAAATTTTAGATCCATGTTTTAGAATTTGCTTCATCTCCTATTATTCCTTGTTCTGTACAGATGGCTTCACCCTGTGTATGCAGTAAATGAGGTTTATGGTCAGTGTGGGCTATAGTCCTGAAAGTCAGGAAATCCTGTCACATAAAAACCAGATATCTGGTTCCGTTTTACACGTTTTTCTATTAATTTCACCCTTATTCACTTGGATAAGAACACTGAAAATATTCAAATTTGTATACATAGAACAAAATAGTTCAAGTAGCAATTTAGTACAAAAACAGATTGCTGCTGGCCCCATTTGAGCTATAGTAACTTTGGTGAAGTCATATGTAAAGCATTATGATCTCTGCTGCTGTCTTATAATTATTTATATTGATGTCAATTATAATTTTTTTAATTAGATTGTATCATTTGTCTTAAATTCTTACAAGCAACCCAGCTAGAGTAGACCCATTTGGATCAACTATATTTAATATGAATTACCAGCTAAATAAGCACTGCATGAGTAGCTCTACTCTAGTTGGGTCTATGAAGAGAAATTTGATGTAAAAAAACACTCTTGTGCTTCTGGGATTAAAATGTAATAAGCAGTATATATTACGTTTCGTCAGTTAGACCCCATCAGTAATAAGGCATTTATTTTATCATGAAAGCAGATGGGGAAAATCCACAAAAAAATCATATTTGAAATTGAGAATGTGTATTTGAGTTGCACTACTTCTCATCTAATGCCACAATTACTTTTTTCTAGGGGTGGATGCTGAAGAATGGGGGAAATTTCTACATACAAAAAACAAGGTAGCCTTTTAAAAGAAAAATTTTAAAACTGTTTGCATGCAGAAGTAGATAATTCTGTACATGGGGCATATATACCTATATTCTTGAGGTTTGGGAGCATCTTGGGCAAAACACATTCTGCTAGGCTCTGATGGACTTTCCCAGTAGTGGTAGTCAGAACAATTTCTAAATGGCCGAAGGCTGCATTTCCATTTCCAAAATGAACCCAGAGAAAATTCAGAAGCTTTGTGGAAAGTTTAAATGGCAGCTAAGGTCTCATTCATCATGCTATTCACAACAATGGGCTGGGTTTAAAAAAAATACCTCAAAGCATAATGTATGACAAGGATCAGCAGTGGACCTTACTAGAGTGGTGGGCCCTTCCTGGAGTTTCCTAGGAATACCAGATGAAGGTTCATCATACATTCCCAACTACCATGGCCTCAGAAAAATAGAACAGGCAGGTACAACTCCTACATACCTAAAATAAGAAGTAAATGAAAGCCCCTCCTCCCCACATCCCAACTGCCATTGCCATGATCTCAGAGGGAGAGAAGGAAAGGCAGGCACAGCTTCCACACGGCTGACCCAAAAGCAAGTGAATGGTCCATCCCTTCTGTGGCTTTAGAGCAGTGGTCCTCAACCTATGGGTCCCCAGGTGTTTTGGCCTACAACTCCTAGAAATCCCAGCCAGTTTACCAGCTGTTAGGACAATGGTTCTCAACCTGTGGGTCCCCAGGTGTTTTGGCCTACAACTCCCAGAAATCCCAGCCAGCTTACCAGTTGTTAGGATTTCTGGGAGTTGAAGGCCAAAACACCTGGGGACCCACAGGTTGAGAACCACTGTGTTAGGATTTCTGGGGTTTGAAGGCCAAAACATCTGGGGACCCACAGGTTGAGAACCACTGCTTTAGAGGGAGATGGAGCATCTGCTTGACTTCATCTGCATGGGTTCCCCTCTCCTGTGGTCTTCAGGAAAGGTTGCTTGTGTAGATAAAATGTGGCACGTGTGATAAATTAGTTTTGACTTATTTCTTTTCTTTAAATTTCAGCTTTATACAGATTTTGATGAAATTAGACAAGAAATAGAAAGTGAAACTGAAAGGATTTCTGGAAATAATAAGGTAAGTGTCACCTCATAGAACTCTGCAATTCCAGTTTGACTCCCATACTATATGTGTGATTGGGTGCATTCCTGGACTTCGCATGGATACATAAAACTGTGGATAATAGCAACCTTTATTATTTTCAATGTATGAATGGCAGAGATACAGGAAGAGCATGTGGCTTGTACAGGAGGCCATAAGTGAATAACTGAATAAGTGAAGCCATAGATAAGTGAAACTGCATATAATTGGTTCTGCAGATATGAGGATAACACTGCAGCCGACATATTTGAAAACAAACACTGTTTAGAGTTCCATGTGATATTCTATGCATTGCTGAGAATTCACTGTATGAGGTGAATTACATTTGCCTGCTGTTCGCATTTCTCTTTAGGATTCTATAAGCAATTCATTGTTGTTTTTATTTATTTATCATGTCAGAAGCGAATTGAGAATATAGCTATAATGTATAGAAAAACCACAAACAAAGTTTGTTTTCCTCTCAGTTGTTGAGGAAGACCTTTTCAGTCTTCTTACGCTTGTTCTCATTGCACATCCTACCACTGTTTTCTCTTGATGGAAAATGTATGATTATTGTGGATGCCAAAGGCGGTCTTGGGAGAAGGTCTTCTGAAGCAGCAGGGAGCTCTGCTGGCTGTAGTTTCATTGGTGGGTGTCTGGATGACACGTTTGTTCATTTTTTTAAACCTAATAAATGGCAAGAAATGTTTAACTCCTACAGAAACATGTGAGTAGTTTCGAATTATCGCAGTTGAAGAGACATTTATAATTTCCTGTTAGAGTTTAAGTGTCAGTTTGGTGAAGTCTTCAAGCAAGAAAACGTTTCAGCAGAGAATCTGGAAGCCATGATTGGGAAGCAGTTGTACAAATGAGTCACATGTATCTGTTTCCAGGGTTTTCAATCTAGAGGCTGAATATTTATGTTGTTTTTAGTAATAATTTATTGTTACTTTATGTATTTAATTTATATTCAACCTTCTTCTTAATATGTGATCCGTAGCAGTTCTGCTTTCCAAGGCTATGGCTTGGGAAAGGCTTCTAAGCAGGCTCCAAATGTCAATGCAACACAATCTTTTTTCCGTAAACTTATTGATTAGTGCAATATGTGAACATGGAATGGTGCGGTGATAACTGGATTACGATATTAGATTATGTGATTTTAATAATTTTACTGTTGATATGTTTTAGTGGATGTTTTAATGTATATTTTTTTATTTGCTGGATATGTATTATATGTAATGTACGGCATCGAATTGTGCCTCTATGTGCGCCGCTCTGAGTTCCCTTCAGGGTTGAGAAGGGCAGGATATAAATATGGCAAAGAAATAAATAAACAGTCTTTCAAGCTATATTTGCCAGCCACATTTTGAAAGGAAACATCTGAAATGTTCAAGGACCACTTGAATTGACTATGAATTATATGTAGATGTCTGAATTAAGAAACAGCAGAGATTTCAAGATTGAAATTATTATTTTTTTCCCCTTGAATTTCTAGGGAATCAGTCCTGAACCTATTCATCTAAAGATTTTTTCCCCTAATGTAGTCAACTTGACCCTTGTAGACTTGCCAGGAATGACAAAGGTAAGAAGAAAACAATTTTTGCTGTGTACTTAACTGAAAATTGCTCATGCTTTACAAAGGATAAAATGTTCATAAAATAACAGCTTATACTATGAAGCAGAAGTTTGCAGTGTTTTTTTTTTTTTGCTGTGGCTTCCATTTGACCTCCCTTTCAGTCTGTACCCAACTTTCCCATCACATCACACTGCAGTCTTGTCTGTTGAGTCACTTTTTTTTCCTTTGTGGAAACTTGGTCATCCTATATTAAATGTAGCATGGCAAGACTAATAATAGGGAGAATAAGAGCACAAAGTAGCTACATTTCTCTTCATTGGGTGGTTCAGGTTTCCTTTTCCTCTCTTGCCTGGGAATGGCCTTCAGATGTTGTGTTCATGACAACAGCTGTTGTATTCATGACAACAGACCTAGCTTCAAATGAGCAACTGAGTAAATGTGTTTAAAAGCTAATATTCTTATAGGTTTTACTTTCTCTCTCTCACAGGTGCCTGTGGGGGACCAACCAAAGGATATAGAACTTCAAATCCGAGAACAAATAATTAGATTCATTAGTAACCCAAATTCAATAATTTTGGCAGTCACTGCTGCCAATACAGATATGGCCACCTCAGAAGCACTTAAAATAGCACGAGAGGTGGATCCTGATGGTAAGTACAAAACCGCAGATTCCAAATTGCCTCCCTCCACCTTTCTTAGAAACTATTCTCCTACGGCACAGTAAATGATATAACTATTACTTTTCAGTAGCATACAGTTGTAATTTGTATGATTAAGATGGCAAGATGCCTTGAATGATTAATACAACTGAAGCATTTCAGACTGAAGGTAAAGTCAGGTCTACATCGTATTAAACTGTAGCAACAGCCATAACAATTATCGACCCATTTCAGGCTCTTGCTCTAGGCTTTGTAAATTTTATTTTAGGAAGTCAGGTATTTTTCATTTCAGGCATGACAGGGACTTTGGCTAAAAGCAAGATGTGAAGCTACCATCACCAGGGGCTTTGGGGGAAGGGGCAGTGTTTGTTTCTCCTGTTGCCTCTGGCTCAGCTCCTGTGGACTCACTCCTGGCAGAACTGAGGCCCTGACTCTGCAGCTCAAGGTCAGCAACAACACCTGCTTGCCTCAGAGGCTGGGGCATAAAAAGAACCACACCTGCAGGGCCTCAGGCCAAAGTAAGATGTGAAGGACCATCACTAGGAGCTTTGAGGGAAGGGACAGTGTTTGTTTCCTTTGCTACCTCAGCTTCTAGGGACTCACTCAGCTTCTGGGGACTGCTTGGTGGTGCTGGACTCTATCTTGACTGGCCTCCATTTCAGCATCCTTGGGTCAGCACAGAGATACCAACATTTGTTTCTTCCAGCCATAGCCCTTGATTCACCTGAGCCCTCTCTTGAGTGAACACTGCCATCCCATTCTTCCCCGGATGGAACTTCTTCTCTGTTAAAACTATGTTTTAATATGTTTTATTGCATTTATATGTTTTAATTGTTTTATCATTTGATATGTTATATTTATTATTTGTTGTATGATGTGGCATTGAATGTTGCCATAATCTGTAAGCCACTGTGAGTCCCCTTTGGGGTTGAGAAGAGCAGGGTATAAATACAGTAAATAATAAAATAAAATAAATCATAAGATGGGAACAGGGAGTCAGTGAACACAGTGCTCAGCCTTAGCTCTTTTTTCTACTTCTATACATTATGGTTTATGAAGTCTAAAATAATTGTCTGAACTAGTGGGACACTTCTTCCCAGTTTATGATGTTTCTGTAGGCATCTTTGAATGCATTTGTTCATTTTGGTTTAATGAGATTGAATAGCGATACTCTTCAATAAGTAACGTTAGCCCCAGGCATTGTATGCAACAGCTGTTTAACAATTTGGCCTACCGGCTGTTAGGAATTATACAAATTGAAGTCCAAAACACCTGGAGGACCAAAGTTTGCTCATGCCTGCTTTAGTCTCCCCAAAAGGGACTCGGGGTGGCTAACAAAGCACTGTAAGTGCAGTATAAATATCAACAGTACATAAATATAAAACAATATCACATCAAAGTTATAAATAACCACTATCAACACATAAAATAAAATACACAATTTCAAAGCACTTTTCATCAATGGTTAAAATTAGTTGCCATCAGTACACAACGAAAGTGCCAAAATATCAGCCTAATATAGACCCATTTCAGTCTACTTGAGGCGAAAGACCTGCTTAAAAATCTATGTTTTTAGGCTAGAATGGAAGGATTCAAGGGTAGGGGCTAATCTAATCTCTTTTGGGAGGGTATTCCAGAGCCGGGGAACCACTATAGAGAAGGCCCTCTGTCTCGTTCCCACCAACCACACTTGAGATGGTGATGGGACTGAGAGAAGGGCCTCCCCTGCCAATATCAAAGCTTGCACCGGTTCATAGAAAGAGATGTGGTCTCTTATTTAGACCTCTTTTGAAACTTGGATTATCAGTCTTTGATTGTAGTGGATCTGAAACACAAATCTTTATAAATAGTATTTGCGTTGCTCACTTTGACCAGGATCCAAACGATAGAAATTGAAATGTCCTCTTGTTTAGATTGTAACAGATGAGCTGAGACCAAATACACTTCTCGTGAATTTCCACTTTCTTTCATGGCTTTATCCTTTGGCATTTTTCACTAGGGCTTTTTGTAACTGTGGCTTGAAAAGTTAATACATGGTCATCTAAATGTAAAATGACATTTTCCTGACGCTTCTCCAATAGGGCGCCGCACACTTGCTGTGATCACAAAGCTGGACCTCATGGATGCTGGCACTGATGCTATGGATGTCCTTATGGGAAGAGTGATACCAGTTAAACTGGGCATCATTGGTGTGGTCAATAGGTAAGTTGAGGAGAGAAAATGGCATGAGAACTTGGTGTTTAAAGCATTCCTGTGATTCCATAACAATGTGATTTGTTTTCATGGATCTTGGCCTATAGAGAGGGTTAGATCCTTGTGTGCAACAGCTGTGTGACAATTTGACCTCCAAATTCTTCTGAAATCACCATCTGAGATCCTGTATCAAAGAAATAAATGAAATTGCCATCCTTTATTCCAACATAATCGGCTGATTATATCTCAACTTTTTAGAAGTCAATTAGATATCAACACTAAGAAGAGTGTGGCTGATTCGATTCGTGATGAATATGGTTTTCTACAGAAGAAGTATCCCTCTTTAGCCAACCGGAATGGAACAAAATATCTTGCCAGAACCCTCAACAGGTACACAGAATTACTTACATTCTGATTCCCCCCCCCCCCCCCTCTACTTGGATCTCTTTTTTGTAGCTCATTCCAGTTGTGTACTTATTTTTTGCTCTTGATGGTGGTGCTCTTATGATAGATGATTAATGACATTCTGTCACTTGCACTTCCCTTGTATTTTTGAGGCTCATATTGCAAAGAGGTTGAATAGAAAGCTAGCAATTATTTATGACATTGAATACATGCTGAATAAATAATATTTAAAAAGTTTGATTGAAAGCTAAGTTACCTTGCATGTTTCAGTTCTCCTTCTAAAAGTGCTCTTTGTTCCCAAACTCTGCTTTCAGGTTACTCATGCATCACATCAGGGATTGCTTACCAGAACTAAAAACTAGAATCAATGTTCTAGCTGCTCAATATCAGTCTCTGTTAAACAGCTACGGGGAACCTGTGGATGACAAAAGTGCCACGTTATTGCAGCTTATTACCAAATTTGCCACTGAATATTGCAACACCATTGAAGGGACAGCAAAATACATTGAGACTTCTGAACTGTAAGTTCAAGTTCTGTTTTAGAGACTCGTTGCCACAAAAGCTGGAGGACACTAATCTTTAAAATACTATTTTTACCATTACTATGATTCATTCACTTGTATTAAGCTGTTTCCCCCCAAAAATGAAAACAGCTTACATTAATTAAAGCCCAGATAAAAACAGAGAATACAAATACAGCGATTAGCCAATAAAAATAAGAATAAACAAATCCAGGAAAGGAAAAAAAACCCAAAACAAACGAATACAGCTATACAGTAGTGTTTCTAAATCTCAATTTGGAAAAGAAATGTCAAAACTATTTTATACAGCAAATAATTGCCAGGTCAGTACATATGATTGAGGTTTTCCATTTCTTTCCATGCATCCCAGTTACTCTTTTTTGTTCTCCAGGTGCGGCGGAGCTAGAATTTGCTACATTTTTCATGAAACCTTTGGGCGGACGTTAGAATCTGTTGATCCATTAGGCGGCCTTAACACCATCGACATCTTGACAGCCATTAGAAATGCTACTGTAGGTATTATCCTTTAACTTCCTGTTAGGACGTTATGTCCCTTTTTAAACCTGTTCTTCAGTGGGTGGGCTTGCTTTACTTGGCACTATGTACTCCTTAGGCTTGAATCAAGGAGTGCTACAATACCCTGGCAAATATGGTGCCCTTCCTTACAGGTGAAAAAAAGATTCACCCATTTCCGTTTGGTTTGACTAGGGTCCACGCCCTGCCTTGTTTGTGCCTGAAGTCTCCTTCGAACTGCTAGTCAAAAGGCAAATCAAACGTCTGGAAGAGCCTAGCCTGCGATGTGTGGAGCTTGTTCATGAGGAAATGCAGAGGATCATTCAGCATTGTAGCAATTACAGCACACAGGTAAAAGAAGTCGCAAACTGTTGCTGTGTGTACAGTCATTCCTCCACATTTGCAAATTTGGTTATTTGATTTTAAATGTTCTCTCTAGAAATTGCTAGATCCCCCAATACGATTCTGTTCTCAACTTCCAGCAGAAGTTGAACACAGAGTCATGCTGGAAGACCTAGACATTTCTAGAGAGGTTATCTCTCAGATAGAAAAATAGCAATTTCTTTTTTCATGGTTTTTCACTTTCATAGGGGTCTTGTGCTCTTATTTTTAGCAAATTTGAGGGCTGACTGTATTTATTTTAATTATATTATATTATATTACTTATATTGTATTATAATTGCATAGAATTATTCTAAAACTTAGGAAAACCTACTGTTTTGCAAGATTCATTAGAATGAAGATCCTTTTCTACTTAGATGACCAGCCAAAAGTTTAAAATCCATAAATGTCTGAAATCTAATGTAAACTCAAAGAGCATTGTATATACACTTGTATAGAGGAGTAGATCTCCTATTAGTGACATGCAAATAAATATGTTCACTAACTCAGAGGCATTGCGTATACACTTTGGTCCAAGTTGTGCAAAGCTTGCAGGACTATGCCATGGAAGCATCTTTTCAATTAAGGGGAGGGAATGTTTCTACACATATTATTAGTCTTGTCCACCCCCTGCCCAATAGTCTGAAATCTGATACCTTTGGCATTTATGGTTCATTCAATTGCGTAATTTAATGTTACAAATTCTATTTCAGTGGTAGTCCTGTAGATTCAGAAAATAAAACACTTTTCTGGTTTTGTTTCCATTCAGGAATTGCTGCGGTTTCCTAAACTCCATGATGCCATTGTTGAGGTTGTAACCAGTCTTTTACGTCGGAGGCTGCCGGTTACAAATGAAATGGTAACTATTGCGGAGCTTACTCTGTGCCATCATATGGTCTGAAAATTGTACCAGAACATTGTGGGAGGGAGCAGAGTTCTGAAAGAAGTGACAAATGACAAGGCAGTAGCATGTAATCCAGATATTGAAATCTGTCATGTCTGTCTCCTGGTACAGAAAATCAGTTTTACTTCTAAGCCATATATTTTTTACATCCAATTGAGTCATGAAACCATTTTGATATAATATTCTGTGTTCTTTCCTAGCCTTCCACTGGAGGGATTATTTCCTTACAGCAGAAAGTCCTTTCACCTTTCTTACTGTTCTTTCTTTGGTTCTGTTTATCATCATTTTCTCTTATCACATGACGATATTTTGGAGGATAAATTGCCAAAAATGATTCTTTAGGTTGGGATTTGCTTGTCAAGATTGTTATTTTATTGGAGTTTTTGCCAGTTTTATTAGGCCTCCAGTGGCACAGCAGGTTAAACAACTGAGCAGCTGAACTTGCTGACCAAAAGGTTGGCAGTTTGAATGTAGGGAGTGGGGTGAGCTCCTGCTGTTACCCCCAGCTTCTGCCAACCTAGCAGTTTGAAAACATGCAAATGTGAGTAAGTCAATAAGTACTGATTCTGCGGGAAGGTAACAGTGCTCCGTGTAGTCATGCCAGCCACATAACCTTGGAGGTGTCTAAGGACAACACCAGCTCTTCGGCTTAGAAATTGAGATGAGCACCACCCCCCAGAGTCAGACGCAGCTACTATGTCAAGGGAAACCTTTACCTTTATCTTTATTACTGTGCCCTATTTTTATAACATAAGTTCTGACAGACTTCTGTTGTGCATCCTTATCTCATATGGCCTTTCATCAGATAGAATTATCAGTGCAATTTTTAATTTCTTTCTCTTTCTTAAAGGTTCACAATTTGGTAGCTATTGAGTTGGCCTACATCAATACCAAACATCCAGATTTTGCAGATGCCTGTGGGCTCATGAACAACAACATAGAGGTAAAGGAGGAAATTCATCCTTTGTTACTTATAAATTACTGTGTCATCTTGTGTACACGTGGTTAATAGGGTCTCTCAGGTTACTTTATATGATCAGACATTCGCATCGACTGAAAATGAATTAAAACTCTTGAGACAAAATAATGACCTTTTCTCATTAGAACTAAAAGTTTATGGCTTGCTTATGCAATCTAGTAATTAGAGGTGTGCAGCCTTTGAATGTAGAGGTTTGCTATTTAAATGTCACATGATACACATACTTCACCCATCCTGGTATTTTGAATTAAAAGGATTACTTTTACACAATCAATTCCTAATCAAGACACTTATTTTTTGAAAGGAGCAGCAAAGGCGGAACAGATTAGCCAGAGAGATGCCTCCTGCTGGGTCACGAGACAAGGTGAGTATGTGCCTGATAATCTAAGGAAAACTACAGGTACCATTTGAAATGCTTGTTAAAACTAAGGAGATCTTCTTGTTGCTGCAAAGGGATATACAGAAATTCCCCACTGAGGTTCTGTTCAAAAAGTGCATGCTTTCTTCTGAAATGCAGCCACTGAATGGGATTGAAGTGGGTGAGCTGGAATAAAAAGAGAAGCAATGCTGATGTCATTTTTGCCCTTCTTGCCTTCTTTAGTCCACTAAGCCTCCTGGTGCTTTGGCACCCTCCTCCCAGGAGACCTCTACTGCTGGTTCTGCTGAGGTTGATGGCAAGGTCTGTCTCTCTTTCTTCCTCTAAGCACTGCATGCTCCATTGTCCATGTGGTGCACTTTGGGAAGGGTTAGCATTGCTCTCACAAGCACTTCTTGAACACGTTGCCTGCTGAGGTGTTGGACCAATGGCTTTCAAATGGGTTCTTAATAGCTTTGGACACTTTCCAAGAAGGTGGTTCAATAGTTTGCAAATTGTCAGAGCTTAGAAACCTCCCCTCAGGACAATAGCAATAATTTCTTACTTTAATGTCTAAATAAACATATTAGTTGCATGTTTGGACAGGTATGGGCAACCAAGCAAGTTTGCATGTGGAAGATATTTGGATTTTTTTTCTGTGCCCATTGCAGACTCTTAAGATCCCCCCCCCCCCCAAAAAACACAACAAAACTAGCTGTAGTCACCTTCCTCCTGAAAGATGTACAGTGTTCCCTCACTTATTGCGGGGGTTCCGTTCCAGGACTCCCCGTGATAAATGAAAATGGCTGAGGGTGCAGGAAAACCCGCAAAACAGCGAGTCCACAGTAGATAAACCGCGAAGCGCCGAGGGCGCACTGTATGTGGCATGTGAGAGGTTTGAAAATTGAATAATGAAAGATCTTTGAGGCTTCTTCTATGCAGTGGTTCTCAACCTGTGGGTCCCCAGGTGTTTTGGCCTACAACTCCCAGAAATCCCAGCCAATTTACCAGCTGTTAGGATTTCTGGGGGTTCAAGGCCAAAGCATCTGGGGACCCACAAGTTGAGAACCACTGTTCTATTGCATCAAGGAACACACATTTATTAGGTTTCTGCATCTGAGTATCATTGGGCAGCCAATTAACCTTGTCTTGGAGAAGGAATTTAATGCACATTTATGTATTATGTATTATTTATGTAGATTCATATTTTGCACAGTTCTTGTCAGTGTGAGCATATTATCTTATACAATCTTATACAATGTAGTGTGAGTGTTTTTCATATTACTGAGTTTTTGTTTTCATATTTGTTACTGCAAAAATAGTTCCACTGGTATAGCTGTAAAGGAGTAGAGAATTTGCTAGAGGAATTCAACTTCATGTAATTTATAGCCTGCTGCATTTTTCTCAAACAGTTTTCATAGCCTGAGAGGATATAAAAAATAATGGCATTTTTCTTGTCATTATTGGGTAAGGTACAAAAGGTAATTTTTGGAGATAATGACATGATTTATATGGATTACTGTCAAGGGGTGTTTGTTTTTCGACAAGCACCCCTTGACTTAATAAAGCAAGGTGAATTAGCCTTTTGACCTGAATGTCTGATGTTAGATCAGTATTCAAACCAGGAAATTTCCCAAAATGTATGGTTTCCCACTTTATCTGAAACAATCAACTGTGGTTAACCACTTTGGAACATGCCAGAACACCAAATTCAGTCGGTGGTGTAATCTCTTGATTTGTTGCCAGATTGTTAACTATACTTTCCTGCTTTGGATGAAAGAGTAGGCTATTCCTATCCAGGGCACCTCAAGCCTAATTTATTTCACTGGAGAGAAATGGAATTAGGATATAATTGTTGTGGAGTGAAGACGATGTACCTTAAGATTCTTAAAAACCAGAATGGAGGAATAACCAATAAACTAAATAAAAACTTCTGTTCAACAAGGGGCTGGAACTATATGAACTATTGGTCTTGAAAATAGCTAGATTTGAATGTTGTACTGTTGCTTTTCATTAGACATCTCCTGCTATAGGAGAAGGAGCCTCTGAATCCGGAACAGGCAACTGGAGAGGAATGCTGAAAACCTCTAGAGCAGAGGAGATATTAGCTGAAGAAAAGTCAAAACCAGTAACAGTTCTGCCTGCCAGCCCTCAAAAAGGACATGCTGTAAATTTGCTGGATGTGGTGAGTTTCTACAAAAACAGAACTGTAAGGAACAGGAGAGAACTGAGTGTTGGCGAGTGGGCATGTTAACAAAAGACCCTCCTCATAAATGTATAGCAGAGTAACTTATCAGCAGTAGTCTGACCCAGCACCAGTAGCCCAAAGTGATAAAAAGGACAAAAACACACAGACCAATGCTATATCTTCCTTAGGAGGCTTTTCTTTGTAGTGAAATAGAAGGATTAAACTATTTACAAGAACAAGGTTTCAGTAACACAAATAAAGTTCGCTATACTTCCTTCGTTGCTTCCACACTTCTTTCTTATGCAGATAAACAGCTTTGCTCTCACAGAGCCTCCACTCACACCGAAATTACGCAGCAGCTTCACAGAGTAGCTTTACACACAAGACCTTTAACCTGTGGCTTCTTTCACCAAAGCTTCTCTCGCACAAGGCCTTCTCACACTTGGCCTTTTCATAGACTAAGGCCTAGCTCACACTGTGATGCTTACCTCACATAGAGGCTTCTCTCACAGACTAAGGTCTACCTCGCACTGTGAGGCCTTCTCTCATTGACTAAGACCTTTCTGAGGTTTACCTCAGACTGCGAATAAGCTACAAGCACACCTGCTTATATAGAACTGCATCATTTGCTGACTCATTTCATCCATTTAATTATTTATTATTTTATTTATTTACAGTTCTTCTATTCCGCCCTTCTCACCCCGCAGGGGACTCAGGGCGGATTACAGTAAACACATATATGGCAAACATTCAATGCCAGTTTGACAAACAACATTTAACAGACAAATGCACCAAGGCTATTTAACTTTTTTCTGGCCGCCGGGGGAGCTGCTGCTTTTCATCGTCCATCAACGACACCGATGAAGTTCTTCCGCATTCCACATTCCCCGGAGTCTTTTTTTCTTTATGGCCTCATAAATTAGTTAAATTTAACCCTTTCAGTGCTTGACTCACTTTTTTGCAACTAAAAATACCTAGTTGATTTTTAATATTTCTAACAAGCAGATGGTTCTTCAACCCTGCCTGCTTGCACAGAATGACTTGGCAGGGTCAATTTGGGTGGGTGGGGCTACAGTAAGGTAGAGGGACACACAGCATTGAGGGGATGTTGGTTTGAGGCCCTTGCCCGACATTCTTCTCTCTCACCAAAAGACATGTGCATGCAGCTGCAACATATGTTTTCCAATTAGAATGTTGTAGAAAAGGGAAAAGTTTTATTAGTAGAACAGAGGCAAGTAAGTTTACTTTCCTTTTGTAGGCCCTGCTGGTTTTCAATATCTGCTTCAGGGCATTTAGAAGACCATGAAAGTGGAGAGAGAGAGGGAGAGAGATTCCTTTATATAGCATTGCTCAGTAAAATACTCTGTTTGTAGTTAATGCTGGCCCTTTCAGCCCTATGCGTCTACTTCAGGAGTAAGAACCTAATGGAATGGGTTTTCTGAACTGTCCTTTCTGTATACCTTACTTTGATAGTATATTTCATTTAATGCCATTTTAGCATGGAATAGGGATCTATAGATATGTTGCATCATCAGGCTGTTTATGCTCTTTTTATAGCTGTCACCTCCACATATTTAAGCTGCATTCTATTTCTATGAGAGCTAAAAATGAGGTCTAAAAGAAAATCCATCATTTTTGGAAGCAATACTTTGAGATCATGAAAACAATTTTTATCATTCACTCCAGAAAACAAGAAGGAAGATAGACAGATATTGTGTCTTTTCTGGATATTGAAATCCAAAAGATTTGGAGAGCCAAAGGCTCTTGTTTCCTCTTACCATAATAATCTGTAAATAAATAATGTTTATACTTAGCATCATTGATTTTTGCAGGCTGTAACATGTTTTAAATACCAGGCTGTCTGCCACCTTTCTATAGTTCAGAATAAACATAATCTGGTAAAATCCTGAGTTATGAAATACTTGTAACGCTTGCTTTTGTTATCTTAGCCAGTTCCTGTTGCACGCAAGCTTTCAGCCCGAGAGCAGCGAGACTGTGAGGTGATTGAACGCCTCATCAAATCATATTTCCTAATTGTGAGGAAGAATATTCAAGACAGGTTAGTTATACTGAAGTGCTGCAGCATGCTGATTTTATTATTTTCACATCTAATTTTATGTGCAGATTAAAGTGAACACTAGTCGTATGCTATTAGCCTAATGTGAGGATGTAAGGGTAATGGCTTGCTGAAAACAGGTGAGAGCATCATTCCATTGGCTCTTTCCTCCATTTTAGTTTTCTGAGCTTAGAACAGGAAACATGATATCTTCCAGTTACTTTTAACTATCATGACGTAATTACTATTGTACATGCTGGTTAGAGTTGATGGGAATTCTAGCACATCTGGCAGGCATTCTGCCAACTCTTGAGCCTAAAAGCAACAGATTATCTCATTAAAATGAACAGGAAATAATTATTTTAGTTTATTCATAAAGGCTTTTCCATACTTATATATTTATTTGTAATTACCTTTAATACTCTTCTATAAACCAGCAATCGTTTATAAATATGAGTATCACACTACAATAAAATACTGTAGCAATGATTGTCTTTGACTTAGCACAATGTGTATGTGGCACATAGCTTGCCCTTTTTCTCCTTCTCCTCACATCCAGCTTCACCATACAAAGAGAACAATGAGAGTAATGTTTTATCTTGTAGAGTAGAATATACAGCCAGCCCTTCACATTTGTGCATTTAACTTCTGTGGATTTGATTATTCACAGATTTGATAAATATATTCTCTTTAGGAATCTCTAGGGCCCTCCGGGATATTCTCTGATCAGCTCCCACTGAAGTGATGACAGAGAACCTAAAGACTCCTAGAGATATGTTCTCTGAGGTTAAAAAAGATAATTATTTTTCCACTTTTGCATCCCTAACTTCCATGAAAGTGGAATCTACTGTGATGCTTATCCCCAAATGTATTCTCTTTTGTTTGCATTTTGTTTGATAAAGGTAAAGGTTTCCTCTTGACATTAAGTCTAGTGATGTCTGACTCTGGGGGCTGGTGCTCATCTCAATTTCTAAGCTGAAGAGCCATAGACACCTGCTAGGTCATGTGGCCAGCATGACCACAAGGAGTGCCATTACCATCCCTCTGAAGCGGTACCTATTGATCTACTCACATTTGTATGTTTTCGAACTGCTAGGTTGGCAGAAGCTGGGGCTAACAGCGGGAGCTCACCCTGATTTGAACCGCCGGCCTTTTGGTCAGCAAGTTCAGCAACTCTGCGGTCTAACCCGCTGCACCACCGGGGGCTCCAATTTGTTGGCTAGGCTCAACAAATTTGCTGAAAACACAAAGACCTCTTTCTGGAAAAGAAAGTCAAAATCTTACCTAAGTTCTTAAGCACCTGATCATTAGTTCTAAAATTATTTCTTTTTGCTTGTAGTGTGCCAAAAGCTGTGATGCATTTTCTCGTTAACCACGTGAAAGACTCTCTTCAGAGTGAATTAGTGGGACAGCTGTATAAGGCCTTATTGCTGGATGATCTTTTGACTGAATCGGAAGACATGGCTCAGCGCAGGAAGGAGGCTGCTGACATGTTACAGGTACCATTGACCTTTTAGTTGTAATGCTTCTTTATACTTTTCTGAAATTACAAGGCTGGTACTTTGAGGCATACATTAATTAAAATTATCGTAGCAAGTTTCTGAGTTGAAAAAGCCATTTGGTTTAATTTAATCAGAATCTCAGATGTAGTTAATGCACTCATGACAGAGGTCTAGGTATTACTACCACACCAGAGGAGTTTTATGTAGAATGCTACGCCCTCGGTTTCGTTGGCCCGACTTGAGACATAAACAGCTCCTTAAATGACACTGTCTGGTTATCATTTACCAAATCTCTCATTGTAGTCAAAAGGCCTAAGCTGCTCATTGTAGTCTTCATGCATGGTTCAGACAAGCTACAACCCAAAAGTGTAACCCCTTTTGCGTCATTTATTATACTTAAAACAATTACCATATATACTCTAGTATAAGACAACCTAAATATAAGCTGAGGTACCTAATTTTACCATAAAAAACTGGGAAAACGTATTTACTCGAGTATAAGCTGAGGGTGGGAAATGAAGCAGCTACTGGTAAATTTCAAAATAAAAATAGATACTAATAAAATTACATTAATTGAGGCCTCAAGGTTAAAATGTTTTTGAATATTTACATAAAACTGTAATTTAAGATAAGACTGTCCAACCAATTAAACCATTATTCTAACTTCCTTCAATGTAAATGTGCTTACGTATCCTTCTAATAATATTAAAGTAAAATAATAGAATAAAATAATAAATGTAATAATAAAGAAAATTAATAAATATAATAAAATAGAGCAAAATAATGCAAATGTAATAATAATAGAGTAAAATAATAAATAACTTTGACTAGAGTATAAGGGGGGGGGGGGCTTTTCTAGCATAAATAAAGGACTGAAAAACTCCGCTTATACTTTAGTATATATGGTAAATTGTTTTTATGGGAAAAGCTTGGTATGCTGGTATGAGAAAACAAGCATGTATTTTTGTTACATTTCTACCCCATTTCTCTTCTTGTGAGCGTATGCTTGCAAACTGCACTCTCTCATTTATGTCCATAAGACTCTATGAAATGGGACTGATAGGGAATGGCCTGGGGTCAACCAGTAAGTTTCAGAGCTCATATGAAGCTATAATCTAGATCTCACAAATCTCATTCCAACACTTAACATCCATCTAGGTACATGAAGGAATCTGTATTGTTTTGACAACATAGTAGTTGAATCTTCTAAGAAGATCTCAAGCAAATGTGTCCCCCAGTGGTTGATTTTGCTGTCTTTCTCATAGGCCTTGCAACGAGCCAGTCAGATTATTGCCGAGATTCGAGAGACACACCTTTGGTGAAGGCTTCTCCACTTTGATGAAGAAATGGATGACTTGAAAATTGCTAGGCATTATATACTCATGAACTCCCTAAGTGTACTGCAGTATGTATAAATGCTCATGTAAAAGACATTTGGTTTGGCTTTCTACAGACAGAACAGTATGCTGTATTTTGCAAAACAAGTCATATTTAATCATTTCCCCTTCCAGTTCTCTGGTGCAAAGGACAAGTCTGTTCTCCCCTAAGGAACTGGGTTTGAATTAAAACTGGGGAAGGAACTATATACAATTCCAGTGCCTGGCTTGCTAAATGAGTTGCCCGTGGATAGGATGAACAGTGTAGTATTGTGATGTAGCTTTTCCAGCTGCTTTTGCAAAATAGTTTTTTTCACCCATGAAGAAAGGACACCACAGTATCTTCTTTATAAATGAATTAAATTGCATGCATTCAGATCTCACGGAGATAAACAGCACAGTAGAAAAACTGTCATAACTTGTGTAATGTGTGACCTCATGTTTTAGAACTTTAAAGAAATCTTTGGTTAACTTCTAAGCTGCATTGGTGGGTTTTTAATTTAGATACATCTGGAATAATTTTTAAATAGGGATCCTGCTGAGAGGCAATGTCAGCCAAGGAGAAATCAGAGTTCCTCAGAACCTTTGACTTCCATCACTTTTTTGGTTAGGGACCGGACCAAGACCCTGGGACCATCTATTTAAGAGTTGCAAATTAAAAAGCAGCAGCCTTAAAACCATAGAGGACATGTTTTTCTTTAAATAAATGTGGAAATGGGGGATGGGTAGAAATGGGCAATTTGTAGCCCCACCTCACTCCATGTTGGACTGTAGCTCCCACTATTCCTCACCATTGCTCTACTGCTATGGGATGATGAGGTTTGCAGTCCAATGAGAATCTTTACACAACATGAAGTTGTCCATCAGATTGATTTATATTGCTGTAGTCTATCATTATGCTGTTATGTTTTCCCCCACATAACATAGAGTTCACTTAGTTAATGAAATCCACATCAGTTTCTCAGGGTTCTATAATTTTGACTTACACCAAGGAATCATGTCAGAAATACACGTATTAAGCTCACTTTGATCTACTTATGTTACATTACGTTACAGTGCCCATTCTCAACTTCTATGCTCATGGAAAATGTGTGGGCTTCATACACGTGGTAAACGTTTTATCCACTCAACATTTATACAGCATGATAAAAAGTTAAGATGGTGTGTTGTTGAAGGCTTACATGGCTGGAATCATTGGGTTGCTGTGAGTTTTCCAGGCTGTACGGCCATGTTCCAGAAGCATTTTCTACTGACGTTTCACTCACATCTACGGCAGGCATCCTCAGAGTTTGTGAGGTCTGTTGACCTCAGAACCTCTGAGGATGCCTGCCGTAGATGTGAGTGAAACGTCAGTAGAAAATGCTTCTGGAACATGGCCATACAGTCCAGAAAACTCACAGCAACCCAGTTAAAATGGTGTTCTAAAACACTTAGGACAGAATGTATTTTTTTTAAAAATTAATCAGAGTATTCACCAACAGTTTGAAAATGAGTTGTCTTTTCCACCCATTACATTAGAACTGCAATGCATTTTTACTTGAGGCATTTTAATCACATGACAATAAAATTCTGCTGAGGATCACTTCTGGCATATTTGGAAAATTTATGGGGTCAAGATCAATCCTAAACTCAGTCTACCACCTGACTGAGAAATTCCTCTCACTAGTAAGCCTGCACTAGTGTCTGACAATGTAGAACCTCTTCACATTATATGTGATATTTCTGATAACTGGTTTACTCGGTATCCTCCTTCAAATATATGCCAGTGTAAATGGTTAAACAGCTGAATCTGTCACATCAGTACAATTTGCTGCATTGGCAAACATATTTTTGAAAGGAAGAACCAAATTATTTTGTCTAAATTACTCATAATATAAATGCAAACAGTTACTTTTTATTTAACGGTTTGAAAATGGGCTCTTCTAAAAGTCTATTGTCACATACTTTAAATGCCCGGAACAAAACAAATTAATCTACCTGCCAAAAACTTTTTGTGAATGTTGGAAACTATTTCCTCTTCAGGAGTGCTTCGGAAGTACTTCAAGTTTTGCTGCTGACTAGAAAGTTAAAATTAGTTTGTAAATGTATCCTGTCTTTTGAAGGACTAAAACATAAATGATGAAATTGTCTAAATATATGCTGAGTGGAAATTATTGCATACAATTGTCTCCCTAAGTGTGAGCATTAATTTGTCTTAACCGTATGAAAGGGCATTATAAGACTTATCACTTTTAGTACCTATTCTGAAAGTGAATAGACATTTTTGAGACCCCCCCTCCTTCCTAATTTTTTCCCAACTCCTACTTAACTTTTTAAAATGGGTTCTAAATCAGTCCCAAAAATGTCCATTTCCCTCCAAGGGCACAGTGGCAGGTGCTGCCAACCAAGTGAAATTGGTGAACTCAGTACTAGCCTTTTAAAGGAGATGAACAGCCCTCAGAAAGTTGTTTAATGGGATTACCCATAATATTACTCTTCATTCTATCCCAGATAGTGAGCTAGTCAGTAAAATGAATCCCAAAGTTGTGTTCCTCTAGCTTGGCTGTGATATATGCAACCTATAGATTATGCCTTTCTGAGACTCAAAGTATAGGTCTGAGAGTTCAAAGTATAGGTCGCAGAGTATGAGCTCCATACCATGAAACCCAAGTCCTTCGTGTGCTTTAAAATAAAATTTTATCTTCCTAGATTATAATCCTCTAGGTTTTGAAGGACAAGGCTGTACCAGACAATCCAGTCTCAGGTTAGACTGCAGTGGAGTTTCCAAAGCAGCCTAGTAGTTTAAATTTACATAGTTGCAAACTGTGGATATTTGTCAACAGCTGTGAACCAATTTAAAATGACAGCTATTATTGCCACTTCTGTACTAGCGCTCTTAATTATGTCTCATACAGGAGAGAAAAGCGATCTGAAATTTAGCATGCTATGTACGTATTACATAGTTTTAAGGCCATCTGGGTGTCACTTCATTTCCAGTGCTCTTCCTGTCTTTAGTAGACTGATGCACCTAAAATAACAGAAGCCGTGTTTTAACATAGCCATGTATCTTGCCATATTTCAAAAATCACTGTCGAGTGCGATTTATGATATCAAAAAACTGATAAGAATGGTGAAATTCTTCAACTTATATAAACATAAGATTAGACAAGAGTACTGTATGTATGTAGCAACTATTGTAAATAAATCCAATTATGGTAAAAATGAGTTTTACATTAATAAATCACCCTTTGAAGTATGGCTTCAAATTTTACTTGTGAAGGCACCTGTTTAAAAAGTGTGCATAACTACCAGGTTAGTTGCAGCTCATGTGCTTCAAGGATTTCATGGAATTGCAAAATTGGTCAGCCACTCATGTTGAGAAGTAGCTCAATAACACTTACCTTTCTTTAAATTACACTTACATTGTCCAAGTAAACAGAACTCTAGAAATGTACATATTTATTTAATATTCAAAAAGAATTTAACAGGACGCACCTGATAGAACTGCATGGCTGAAATGAAACAGTATCCAACATCTGAGTGATAATAAAATGTTTACAAAAATATACCCTGGAAAGGTCAGGAATAGTGATATCAAACAGGGATCCACACTATTCAGTCTGGAAGGCTGCTTTTTCACATCAATATTTGCATTCATATTTTTTGTAATACAAACAATATAAGTGAAAAGTTATTTGGCGTTTTTTATTGTAGGCAATATTACCAATTTTTCAACTTTTACATTATTTGGGTAGAATCTACATATTTTGTGATTCGAAGTACGAAATGAGATATAATCCATTTTCCAAGTGATCCTATAGTTTAAATCTCACACAGTGAGAAAAAAGTACTGACACCACAGATGTCCCATTTAACGTTATATGAAGGTCTGGAAGGCCTTCAAGCAATGTGCGCTTTTATAATATACCCGAAAAAGGTTAACAGATTTGCTCTTCATGTGACAACTGCAGCCATTTCACAATATAGTAATTTCTCTTTCCAATCCGAAGGAGTGACAAACCATTCCGCAAAATATGTTGTCCAAGAACAAGAATAGCATCAGGATCAGTAACTTTGACGTGGTTTATAGAAACTCCGCCACTTGTTATATCACGATACCTTGAAAAGAAATTGTGTAATCAGATGAAATGGAAGAAGAAATTGGTATAAACAAATTGAGAATCCAATGAATTTCAGTGATGTATACCAAATAGGTTTGAGCAACCTTTTTCTGCTAGTATTTAGATGTGTTTGATTACAACTCATATCACCCCCCTGCAATAGCTATGCTGACAATAAATTACAAGAGTAGGAGAGCACCAGGTAGAGGAATGGCCAGTTAGCTCCTAATTACTAAAGTGAATAGTTCACTGACACACAGACACTATCCCAGTATGAGATTACAAAGGGATAGCTCAAAGTAGAAATACTACAGTGCTAATGCTGTTTGTTTGCCAACTCAGTTAACAGCAACAAAGATGTAATTGAAATGAGAATGAAATAGTGAAGTACCACAGTAAATTTGGCCTCATGATCTGTTGCTATCAAGTTCTTTATTTGTCCAGGATGCTGCAATGAAACTACTGAAACTCATTCTGATTGTGGAACTGATTCCATTGAAAACATCTGCAACAAAAGGAGTCTGCTTCAGAGTGTGGTGGAAGCTCCTCCCTTGGGAGGCTTTTAAACAGAGGCTGGATGGCCATTTGTCGGGGTGCTTTGATTGTGCTTTTTCTGCAGGTCCAATGACTAGATTGCCCATGTGGTCTCTTCCAACTTTTATGATTCTATGAAAATGAACTTTAGTGCTATCTTACTTCTGCATTGCCAAATATCTACCATTTCTATGTCTGCCATCTTGATGAATGGGAGATCTTAAATTGCTCTTAGACTCTAGCCTCATTGACTTGTCATCTTGACACCCCCCCCCCCAAAAAAAAACCCCTCACAATTACAATGTCCTACACCTTGCATTAGCAAATTTTTAATCCCACATAGGACAATTCATGGGAATATAATACAAGAAAAGTGTGGTAGGGTTATTGTAAAATACTCCCTTGGAAATTGAGAATCTCAACTCACCCTCTTGGTCCATCTGCAATAGCGTTAGCTTTCCGACACAAATCGAGTACTGTTGTTCCAGGTTCAAGCAGCAGCTCAACATACGGTGCCTCATTGAAGAGCACCTGTAGTTCTTGATCAGACATAGTCTCCAGTGCCGCTATATCACTGTAATAAAGGGCCCTTGTACTTCTGGGGGGGGGGGGGGTGTAAAAAAAAGAAAAGTAATAATCAACATTTGTATTACAACCAATTTTTGCAAAAACTGCTTACCAACATAAGCGTTTTTGCCACCTAAAATAGCCTTTACCTCTTAGCAGATTCCAGACCATCTTTGCCATGAACAAGTTTAGTTACTTCGGCAGCAAGTCGTTTCTGCGGTCCCCATTTCTCAGGCTCTTTAGCATGCATTTCCATAATGTGATCGATTTCCGGAAGAGGAAGGAAAGTGAAAAGCTTCAGATACCTTAAAAAAGACAGCAACACTTTGCCTCAGTACCGGACACAATAAATGTATGTTTGTTTCTGTCCCTGAGTCTATGTCCTGTCATGGAAATTATTTTTCTCCAAAAAATAAACAATCAAGCTTGGTTAAAGACTACTTATTTAAAATGGGGAATATGTTATCACAATGTTTTTGTTACTAAAAATACTGCTACATTAGCAGTAAGTACATAGGAAATGACAAGGCTAATGCTACACTGAGCAGTGTTGTAAAGTCTTTGTGCCGACAGAACTGTAGCAGAACCTTAAAGAGTTTCTGCAAACTCTTTAAAAACTTCAGTGTATCATTAACACAATTATTTCAGATTTGTCAATAAGCTTATAAATCCTAAGACACATCTGAAATGTCTTCTTAAATATTTATAATGGCTGAATATACTGGTTGCATCTTTAATCTTAACTAGAGGAATAATGCGGCCTGGATCTTTGGTGCAAAGAAGAGTATGTTCTTATTTACACATCACCTTTTTTTCCTAGAAATTAATTTAGTTTATAGAAACCTTAGACACTTCAGGCCTGAGTGGAAACTTGATCTGACTCTCTTTAGCTCTAGTCTCATATTCTCACCCAATATCTCCCAATCCTTTGGGCTATGTCCTCCAGTATGGCCAATGGTCAGGGATTATACTACAAAATCCAGAGTTGGTTGGGAAGTCTCTATAACCACTAGAACACACCAACAATGTCTTTTTTCTTTTTAACATAGCTTTTTAAGAACACTTAATGAAGTGGAGATCTAATACTTGCCTTTTTACAATATTATCTGGCTGTCGGACAAAAAACTGGTATAGTTCAAAAGGAGAGGTCTTGTTTCTGTTTAGCCAGACTGCATTGCCAGCAGATTTCCCCAATTTATTTCCAACAGTATTTGTAATCAGTGGCACAGTTATTCCAAATACATCTTCACCCGTAACCCTGACAAGAGACAAATGACAACAATAGGATTAGATTTCTTGCCTACGTGGCACTGACATTTGTTGGCAATACAACACTTAGCAGAATGTTAGCACTACAACCTTTTCTACGAAATAACTCAAAAATCATGACAGACTTCAAAGGTATGTCTGCAATATGATGTGTCAAACATCTCTATCACCCGACTCCTCTGCACACTTCGATCAGTTATTTGCATGGATATGTCCATTTCCTTGAGAACATCTTCATCAAGATCTAGCATTCAGATATATTTATTTTCAGAAGGAGCTGAAATGATAAAAGTATCACTCAGACCAAAGATTAGTTATCAACTGCAACATTCATACGTATCTGAAACAGACAAGAGTTCCTTCTCCCACTCTGGACATTCCACAGATGTAAAAACCACACTTGCCTTGTTTCCAACAGACCTCACAACCTCTGAGGATGCCTGCCATAGATGTGGGCAAAACATCAGGAGGGAGTGCTGATTTTTAGTGTATGTTATGTCTTTGCTTTTTATATGTTGTTCGCTGCTTTGAGTCCTGATTAGGGAGAAAAGTGGGATAATAATAGTTAAAGCAGTGGTATTCCCCGTAGTAACCTATGGATGTGAGAGCTGGACCATAAGGAAAGGTGAGTGAAGGAAGATAGATGCTTTTGAACTGTGGTGTTGGAGGAAACTTCTGAGTATCTTGGGATACCAGAAGATCAAACCAGCCCATACTCCAGGAAATAATGCCTGACTGCTCACTGGAGGGAAGGATATTAAGAGGCAAAGATTAAGTACTACATAATGAGAAGACAGGAAAGCCTGGAGAAGACAATGATGCTGGGGAAGATGGAAGGAAAAAGGAAGAGGGGCCAACCAAGGGCAAGATGGATGGATGGTATACCCTGGCTTGACCTTGAAGGAGCTGGGGGTAGACACGGCCGACGGGGAGCTCTGGTGTGGGCTGGTCCATAAGGTCACAAAGAGTTGGAAGCGACTGAACAAACAGGTACATTTCCCAGAAACACCAGCCAGCATGGCTTATCATGAGGGGTGCTGGGGGATGAAGTTAACCTATGCCTGGCGTAGATGTAACCTTAATCTACTGTCACTTTAAGAGGGTAGCAGTGGTTTCTCAACATTTGGCCCTCCAGGGGCTTTAGACTACATTTCCCAAAAGCACCAGCCAGCATGGCTTATCAGGGGTTATGGGAGATTAAGTTTGCCCATGCCTGATGTAGGTGTAACCTTAATCTGTCACTTTAAGAGGGTAGCAGTGGTTGTCAACCTTTGGTCCTCCAGGGGCTTTAGACTACATTTCCCAGAAGTACCAGCCTGCATGGCTTATCATGAGGGGTTCTGGGAGATGAAGTTTGCCCATGCCTGGTGTAGATGTAATCTTAAGATGTAACCTTTTTTTTCACATTTTACCTCACACATTTGGCCCGCCATCCGTTTCTGGTTTTAATATGCTGTTTTATATTGTTGATTTTTGTTATATTTTGTTATGATCTATTTTGTTACTATGTGTTTATTATGTTGTATTATTTGGGGCTTGGCCTCATGTTACCTGCATCGAGTCCCCTTTGGGGAGATAGTAGCGGGTTATAAATAAAGTGTATTATTATTATTATTAATCTACTGTCACTTTAAGAGGATAGCAGTGGTTCTCAACCTTTGGTCCTCCAGGGTCTTTAGACTACATTTCCCAGAAGCACCAGCCAGCATGGCTTATCATGAGGGGTTCTGGGAGATGAAGTTTGCCCATGCCTGGTGTAGATGCAGCCTGAATCTACTGGAACTCACTACCTGGAGAAATTAGGAAAGCCCCTACCTTAGAAACCTTTAAAAATGACCTTAAAACCTGGCTCTTCCGCTGTGCTTTTGATGAATAGGTTTACGTTCTCACACTATTGCTTAGCCTCAACGTTTTGTCATTGGAGTATATGTCGTCCACTCCTTTGTGGGAAAGCCTGATTCCACAACCCCCACTATGAGTCCTCCTCCGCAAATAATCTGTCTCTTACCTCCTCCGAGTTTCAGTTTTAATTAGTCTCTCTTTTAATCATTACATGCAGCCCGTCCATTGTCACTGTGCCTATTGTAATTTTATATTGCTATATTTTCAAATATGTTTTATGTAATTATGTTGTTTATGTTTTCGTTTTTATTTTATTGTAATTTTCTGTTTGGGCTTGGCCTCATGTAAGCCGCTCCATGTCCCCATTGGGGAGATGGTGGAGGGGTATAAATAAAGATTATTATTATTATTGTCGAAGGTTTTCATGGCTGGAATCACTAGGTTCTTGTGGGTTTTTTCGGGCTATAGGGTCATGTTCTAGAGGCATTTCTCCTGACGTTTCGCCTGCATCTATGGCAAGCATCCTCAGAGGTATGCTTGCCATAGATGTAGGCGAAACGTCAGGAGAAATGCCTCTAGAACATGGCTCTATAGCCCGAAAAAACCCACAAGAACCTTATTATTATTATTATTATTATTATTATTACTGCTTTAGACTACACTTCCCAGAAATACCAGCCGGCATGGCTTATCGTGAGGTATTCTGGGAGATGAAGTTGAAAACATCAGGAGAACAGGAGCTGGAGGGCCCTGATTCAGAGGGCGCATCTCTTCCATTCTTAACCCTTTATGAAAGCTGTTCTTTCCTTCCTGACCCCTCCTTACTTGGAGACCAGCTCGTATCCCGACATGATGTTGCCCATCTGGTCGGCGCCGCCCAGCTGGACGAGGCAGCCGTGGTGTTGGCGCAGGTGGAGGAAGTCGTAGGCCTGGAGGGCCGGGTAGAGGAACTCGGCCAGGCCCATGCCTTCGGGGCTCTCGAGGCGCGCGCGGCAGCTCTGGCGGCTGAGCAGAGTGCCCATGCGCAGGCGGCCCCCGGCGCCGCAGAGGAAGCCCAGCACGGTCTCGCGCGCCAGCCAGGAGGCGTTGTCCAAGAGGGTGAGGCGGCCCAGGCGCGCGCCCCCCGCCCCGCCCCAGAAGAGCTCGCGGTGGTGGCGGAAGATCCGCTCGAGGCCCTCGCGCAGCCCCTCCGCCCGCGCGCCCGCCTCTTCCTCGGAGAGGGTCTCGCGCGCCTGGGTGCGGCCGCTGGGGTCGCCCAGCCGCGCCGTGGCCCCGCCCACCAGGGCGATGACGTCGTGGCCCGCGCGCTGGAAGTGCAGCAAGCCCAGGATAGGCAGGAGGTGGCCCGCGTGGAGCGAGTCGGCGGTCGGGTCGAAGCCGCAGTAGACGGCGATAGGCGGGCGGCCGGCCTCCAGGAGGCGGAGGAGCTGCTCCTCGGCGGCCTGCGGGGGGAACACCTCCTGGAATAGGCCCCGCTCGCACTGGGAGGCCAAGAAGCCTTTCTCCTTCGGGCGCTGCTCGTGGAGTCCCCGCCGCGGCCTCAACGCCCTCGTCCCAGCAGACAGCCAGCGTCGGCCGGCTCGCAGCACGGGCGCCGCCATCTTGGTTGGAGATAGGCGCATGCGCAGTGCGCTAACAAATTTGGGGAAGGGCGGAGCTTAAGATACGCTTTGCGGCTCGTGCTCAGCTCGCGCTACAAATGTTGAAGAAGGCGCATGCGCGGAGGGGCGGAGTTAACATTATACGCTTTACCGCTGGAGTATGGCGGCCATCTTAGTTGAAGAAAGGCGCATGCGCGGTGTGCTAAGCCATTTGGGGAAGGGCGGAGCTTAAGATACGCTTTGCCCCTTGTACTACAAATGTTGAAGAAAAGCGCATGCGCAGTGCGTTTAATGACTGGGTAGGGGCGGAGCTAAGAGTTATGCCTCAACTCGTAGGACGAACGCTGTTGAAGAAAGGCGCATGCGCAGTGCGCTTAATCGACTGGGTAGGGGCGGAGTTAAGAGTTATGCCTCACCTCGTAGGACGAACGCTGTTGAAGAAAGGCGCATGCGCAGTGCGCTCAATCGACTGGGTAGGGGCGGAGCTAAGAGTTATAACTCACCTCATAGGACGAACGTTGTTGAAGAAAGGTGCATGCGCAGAGCGCTAATCATCTTGGGGAGGGGCAGAGCTAAGTTACACGTTTTGCAGCTGGATGTGAACAATACTGCTCTGCTCGTTTGCTTGTCATCTTGGTTGACGAAAGGCGCATGCGCCTTGCGCTGGTCACCTTGGGGGGCGGGGAATACCTTTACGCTTTGCAGCTGGATGTGCTCAGCTCGCAGGACAAACGCCGCCATGTGTGCTGAGGAAAGGCGCATGCGCAGTGCGCTAATCACCTTGGGGAGCCCTCCAGGTGTTTTGGACTTCAACTCCCACAATTCCTAACAGCCTAGGGCTGTTAGGAATTGTGGGAGTTGAAGTCCAAAACACCTGGAGGGCCCAAGTATGCCCATGCCTGATTATGAGCATTACATTATTTTTAATATCCTGATTTTCTCCTAAAGGAGAGTCAAAGCAGCTAACAACACTAAATATGTGTCGGTGTTTGGTGTATGTTTTTGATATTTGTGGTTTTTTTAAATGTATTTTGCATTCATATTATTTATTTATTTGAGTTGATTTTTTTATGCTGCTTTTCTCCCGCACCAAGATGAGACTCAATACAATAAGAACATACAAAATGAAAATAAAATTTAAAACACGATAAATTCCTTATAGCAACCTGATTAATATGGTCCTTGATAAAACCCTTGTTGTTGTTCATTTGTTCAGTCGTCTCCGACTCTTCGTGACCTCATGGACCAGCCCACGCCAGAGCTCCCTGTCGGCCGTCACCACCCCCAGCTCCTTCAAGGTCAATCCAGTAACTTCAAGGATGCCATCCATCCATCTTGCCCTTGGTCGGCCCCTCTTCTTTTTTCCTTCCATTTTAAAGCGCTATTTACAAATATAACACATATTTAAAACATTTAATTTAACCCTATTGAGAGCCAAATTCCTGTACTGTTCAAATTCCTGGGCCTGGCTTTAGCACAGCTGGTTAATCAGCAGCAGCAATAGAGCATGGCCTGCCAGAAGGTTGGCAGTTCAAAGCCCGAGTCGGAGTGAGCACCCGACTATCAGCCCAGCTTACTGTCTACCTAAGCAGTTTGAAAACAGCTGAACTGTGAGAACAGAAATTAGGCACTGCTTAAGCGGAGAGGTATTTTACGGCACCATAAAATGCCAGCGATCAATGAACAAGGAAAAAGTACTACTACAGGTCTACTATTCGCTATGGATTACATTCAAGCCAAAGCACTTATTAAACAACGTATCATAGACACAGAGCGACAACTAGATCTGGCCTCGGTTCCAACCTTCCTTATCAATGAAGACAGCAGATATCTTGCCTCCCCTATGGCATATTTAACAAATTTAGAGATTCCTCTTCATCAAAGGGCTTTCACCCTCGCTCGATGCCACGCTCTCCCATCAGCTGTACTCGAAGGGCGCTACCGGAAGATCCCTTTCCCAGAGAGACTCTGCCCCTGTGACTCGGGTCATGTAGAAACAATAGAACATGTGCTCCTTCAGTGCCAGGCTTATCTTACCTTTGTTATACAAGCACCCAGGCCATTCAGGACAATTTTATACCTCCATGCTACTTGCAGATATTAATTCAGCTACAACCTACAATGTTGCAAAGTTCTGTGCAGCAGCATACAAAATCCATCAGGGAACTACTAGTCCCAAAAGCTAACTGTGTGTCCAGTAATCTTCTCTGAATCTACAATTTGGTGATGGATCTGGGCATTGTATGTTTTTACCCTGTTTCCCCTTCCTTTCCGCTCCCTCACACATATTGTGCTTCAGTAGCTATATTTATATTTTTAATGTACCAAACATACCAAGTTTGTATGAAAATGTGACACTATTTCCTGTGCTGGTCAATTACCAAAATAAATGATTTGATTTATTTGAAGGAAAAAAGTATGCGTCATAGTGGATAGAGCAACAACATCACCCTGTGGCTGGAATCGAGCATAACTTCCAGGTGCCATGGCTGGAAAATGCTGATATACATCTATCTGTTTGTCTATCCTGTATGTCTAAAACGGCATTGAAAATTTGCCGTGTATGTGTGTGTTGTGTCCTCTTTGGAGTGAGAAGGGCGGAATATAAATGCTGTAAATAAATAAATGAATACTGTAGGTTCTAGAGATTATTTTTACGCTGCCTACAGCCATCAGGGGAGAAGGGTAATAAATAAGATGTGTTGATATTGTCCACAATACATTTCACAACATCCTTGCCCTTTGCAAGGCAGTCTGAGGATGATGAAAATTGTAGCCCAAGAAGAAGGCTGAGCAGTCTGACCAGTTAAAACATCCTTGAGTTGCAGCCCATCCAGATCCGGGAGTGATGGGAGTTTTAATTGGTCGGATATGGGCCTGATTGGAGTTGAAGGCAGGCAGAACCCAATGCAAGAGAGCAGTAGAGTCACTAGAAGGTCGCCATGGAGACCTGTATCCCCAGGGTCTGATCGGTACCTGAGGGACAGAGAAACTACTGCTTTGTGTTTCAATGTGGTAAATGCATTTGCTTATTTAGTCAAGTGAGGTGACTGGAATACCTTTGAAAAACACCTTTGGGACAGGTCAAAGTATAATTACTGTACACCTCAGGACAAGAGAACAACATGATCATCAGAAATTAATGGGAAAGAGTGAGCTGCAACCCCAAGAGCGCACTAAAGGATTGCCATGGAGACCTGTATCAGCCAGGTAACGTCACTCCCCGAGGGACAGAGATAGTCCTGCTTTGTGTTTCAAACTAAGGGATGATTGTATGGCTTTAGTTCAGGCATGGGCAAACTTTAGACTTCCAGGTGTTTTGGACTTCCATTCCCACAATTCCTAAAAGCCTCAGGCTGATTTCGAAAAGGAAAGAGTTTTACACTGTTAGGAATTGTGGGAATTGAAGTCCAAAACACCCGGAGGGCCAAAGTTTGCCCCTTCCTGCTTTAGCTGATTTCATCCATAAAGCTAACACTTTTACTAATAATTACCATTACAAAATGCAAACTGGTACATGTACTAATTGTATGCAAAATACCTACAGGCTATGTGTATATGAAACATACAGGAATTTTTTATCTCAAAGATATCTCAGTATCCCAAAATCCCAAGCATTTCGGATAAACAATATTCAACTGGTATTGGGTTCCCCCCTAATGTTTAACCCAAAACGTTAAATATATAAGATATAAATGAATACATTCATTTCATAGAATCATAGAATCCTAGAGTCGGAAGAGACCTCATGAGCCATCCAGTCCAACTCCATTCTGCCAAGAAGCAGGAAAATTTCATTCAAAGCACCCCCAACAGCCTCTGTTTAAAAGCTTCCAACCAAGGACCCTCCACCACACTGCAGGGCAGAGAGTTCCACTGCTGAACGGCTTTCACAGTCAGGAAGTTCTTCCTAATGTTCAGATGGAATCTCCTTTCTTTTAGTTTGAAGCCATTGTTCTGCGTCCTAGTCTCCAGGGCAGCAGAAAACAAGCTTGCCTCCCTCCTCCCTGTGACTTCCTCTCATGTATTTATATATGGCTATCATGTCTCCTCTCAGCCTTCTCCAGGCTAAACATGCCCAGCTCTTTAAGCTGCTCCTCATAGGGCTTGTTCTTTCATTCGGTGCTGGTCATTTTGTGGTACAAAGGTTTTAAAAAATGTCAAATTCTGCTGGAAGCTGACCATCGATTGGGTTAGAGCGCCTCAAGATTCCTAGAGATAACATTTTAATCAAATCCATGAATAATCCAATCTACACGAATCAAAACTGCAAATGTGAAGGGATGACTGTTATTATTATTTTATTTATTAATTTATATCCCACTTTTCTCCCCCATCGGAGATCCAAAGTGGCTAACTACAAGGTATAAAACATACAGGAAAGGACTGTAATACCTTTCACTTTGCTATTTGGGGTGCAAGTGGGGGGAAGGCTTCCTGAGGAACTTCCACCACTTAATATAGAATCCCAACCATTCTACTTAAGTTCAAATATATGAGTACATGACCAGATGTTGTTTCTGAGCAATGATTATGCCGAGATGTTTTAATTTTCCACAAGATGGCAGTGTTGCACTTAAAGTATCACAATACCATTATTCACAATTGTTAACTGCTTTTAAGTCAACCCTAGACTTACTTCCTGAAGGGTAAAGGTAAAGGTTTTCCCCTGACAATAAGTCCATTCGTGTCAGACTCTGGGGGTTGGTGCTCATCTCCATTTCTAAGCTGAAGAGCCGGCATTTCCGTAGACACCAAGATCACATGGATGTCATGACTGCATGGAGCGCCATTACCTTCCTGCTGGAGCGGTACCTATTGATCTACTCACATTTGCATGTTTTCGAACAGCTAGGTTGGCAGAAGCTAGGGCTAACAGCGGGAGCTCATGCCACTCCCCAGATTCAAACCTGTGACCTTTCACTCAGCAAGTTCAACAGCTCAGCACTTTAACCCACTGTGCCACTGGGGGCTCCTGAAGACTTACCACCAAATAAGCTTAAGTAGGCATCCTTGGAGCCCCCGGTGGCGCAGTGGGTTAAAGTGCTGAGCTGCTGAGCTTGTTGACCGAAAGGGCACAG